TACACTCAGAACTATAAGAGGGAATCGTTATTCAAGATCTGCTTGTTATATGGTTTACTGATCGCAATCCAATTTCATTGGCCTTCTATGATCTGTGTTATAAGTGTTATTGAAAGGGTGTGATTTCGTTTTCACAATAGGCTTCAAAGGAAAGTGTCCTCTGCCAGATTACTGAAGGGAAGGCTCGGGTTGCTGCATCAAGCTCTGCCTCATTTGCCTTGATCATTGATGGGAAATCTCTTGCATATGCATTAGAAAATGATGTGAAAAAATTATTTCTTGAACTTGCAGTTGGCTGTGCTTCGGTGATATGCTGCCGTTCATCACCTAAACAGAAGGCATTGGTGAGTTTATATCCTATTAACTGAGGAAAAGTCTAAATTCAGTCATCTCTCACCAATTTCTTCTCTTCATAGAAGTCTAAATTTCTGTGCTAGTAGTAAAATTTCTTTCGTTATCCAAAGGTAACAAGACTCGTTAAAGAAGAAACCAAGAAGACAATATTGGCAATTGGTGATGGGGCCAACGATGTAGGGATGCTTCAAGAAGCAGATATCGGAATCGGAATCAGTGGAGTTGAAGGAATGCAGGTGAAAAAGCTAATAGTTTAATGTTCCTTATTCAGAAAGCTTAATATTATGACTATGATTTGCCTCACATTTTGTACTATTCATCTGAGCATGTATCAGGCCGTCATGTCAAGTGATATTGCAATTGCTCAGTTTAGATTTCTTGAGCGCCTGCTTTTGGTGCATGGACATTGGTGTTACAGAAGAATCTCTTCAATGGTAATTAGCTTCAGGGCTTTATAATGAGATATGCAAATTTAATATATGATCCGTAAATTACATTATATTTCATATGGCATTGTTTAATTTTCATGTACCTTTGAATGCAGATATGCTACTTTTTCTATAAGAATGTCACATTCGGTTTCACCGTCTTCCTATATGAGGCATATACATCATTTTCCGGACAACCTGCATTCAATGACTGGTTTTTGTCTCTTTACAATGTATTTTTCACGTCATTACCAGTGATTGCTCTCGGGGTTTTTGATCAAGATGTGTCTGCCAGATTTTGTCTAAAGGTACTCCTTTTATCCGATATGACGTTAGTTTAATTTTCTTCCAAGTCAGTTCGTGATGTTTCGTCTAGCATATGCTGTGACGAGCCTGTTCTTAAATCTAAAAGGGCAAAAAAAATGTTAAAAAAGATTTCTGATTGGGTAAAAATTCTAAATAACTATTAAAATTTTTAGTTTTTACCAGGAACTGTTTAGGCATGTTTTTGATATTCAAGAATGTTTACTTGTTCCTCATTTTTTGCTTGCTTTTACATGGCAGTTTCCTTTGCTATACCAAGAAGGCGTGCAGAATGTCCTCTTCAGCTGGCGTCGTATTATTGGCTGGATGTTAAATGGACTCTGCAGTGCTGTCATTGTCTTCTTCTTCTGCATAAAGGCACTAAATCCACAGTCCTTCAATAAGGATGGGAAAATTGCCGAGTACCAAATTTTAGGCGCTACAATGTACACCTGTGTCGTGTGGGTTGTGAATTGCCAGATGGCACTTGCCATCAGTTACTTCACCATAATTCAGCATATTGTTATCTGGGGTGGAATTGCTTTATGGTATATTTTCCTCTTGGCATATGGGACTATGCCTCCATGCATTTCCAAAACTGCATACCGAGTTTTTGTCGAATCTCTTGCCCTAACACCCTCTTTCTATGTAGTCACAATCTTTGCAGTTATCTCGGCCCTAGCACCGTACTTTGCATATACCGCTATTCAAATGAGATTCTTCCCAATGCACCATGAAATGATACAGTGGCTAAGACACAACCATAAATCAGAGGACCCCGAGGATTCTAATTTAGTGAGATTGAGTTCTATAAGTCCCACAACTGTTGGTTTTAGTACTGCTCATTCATCGACACGAACTAATCGTGTATAAAATTTGCGGGTGTATCATTTGATTGCTCGCATGTGACTCTTGTGGTGTTGTATGTATAAGTGCATAGAGGTTTCGGGATGAGAAGCTTGTATAGAGATGTATAAATTAGATTTACAGTATCCTACACTGGTTTTGTATATTTTGACATTAGCATCCAAGAGTAGTCTTTGTATCGATACGTTCAGTTATACATATAGTGTACATTTCAGGATTTCATGGTACAGAGAAAAATAGGTTGCCATTAGGTAATAGTCATGAAATAAGATCAGGAACATCCTTTTTATCCTAGATTTTATGTAATATTTTAATCTCGTCTTGGACATTCTAATAATTGTTTGGCTAGAACTCTAATACAATGTTTTCATCACCCTCACAATTCATAATAATTTTCAATTTTTTTTGCTCCATAATAGTTTTTATCATCATTACTATACAATTACTAAATATATCCTCAACTGAATATTAATTTAAAGATTGTAATATGTAGACGTTAAAAATTTATTTTCCGACTAACCTTACAAGACTGATAGCAATGTTTCCATTCCAAAGGGAACTGAAAGAAAACCTGTTTTAAAAAAATACGGTGACCAAAGTGAAACAAAGATATAAGTTTGGTCACTAATAAAGTTGGTGAAAAAACGGAGTTTTTAGCTTGTCAAGTGAACACCAAAATAATCAATTGACAAATCTTTGGGTTGACATCCTATTTTTCGGTAAGGATGAATTGTAGTAGATTTTAATAAAAGTTGATGAATTGTTAAACAATTTTGGGTCCTATGAAATATGTATAATAGCTTCGACTTAAATTAAATTTTATATGATAATGTCAGTGCAGGTTCATTAGTTTCCATCATATAATCAAGCATATAGAGGTGGATATTCACATTTTACGTTAAAAAAATTGTTACAGAGGACTTGGAAGTACGTTATATACCTACTGAAGATCAGGTTGCAAATATCTTAACAAAGACTCTTATTATTGTGAAATTTACAACACTTTCGTGCCAAGCTTACTGGTCCACCCGAGCTAAGCTTGAGGGAGGATATTAGTGTACTGCTGACCAAGATTATATTTGACCAAGATCTGTTTATGATATGGTTCAAGAAAAAGTCGTCCCATTTTTTTACTTTTTCGTTCTTTCTAATTGTAAAAATTATTGTGTAAAAAAGTGTAATGTATAACGCACTTGTATCATTAGCATGTAAACCAACATATGGCTCTTGTATGGCTGGACAAAGCTCTCAAACCGAATAGGACCTAAATCAAAATGAACCAAATCAAGCAATTCTTCTTAAATTAAATATCAAAACGAATATTTAAATCAATAATTAATGGATTTGGTTCGGTTCTCGATTCTAAACCAAGAACTAAGAAACCGAATCTTCCTAATTTTTTTATTTTTATTTTTTATATTAAGTAAGTCGAATTATATTATTTTTGCTAATAAATTTGCTAACTAATTAATTTAGCTTAAATCCAAAATATGATTTTCCTATTTCTAATTTCCAACTCAAGCATAACTTAATCAAATTGACTTAAGTTTTACCCAAATTTCTAATTTTATCATAGTGTCGTTTATGACGTTTTGAAAAAAATCAAATTGGAAGCTTAATTGTGTCTCTTCATTAGCCACCGAGTGGGGATTTTAACATTCATATATCTAAAGAACTCAATAAAAAAATGCGCAAAAGATATCACGAAATTGAACTACATTATTTTATGAGAATTAAGATTGAACATCTAATTAGTTGAATTAATGTAGTGTTGAAAATATTTAAAATTTTTATTGTTGTACGGAACTCGAGAATGGAAAGCAAATTGAACTTGTTTCATAAGTAAAATTGGATTTGACAATTCCACTTATTAAATATCCAAAAATTTGGATTCGGTTCGATTCTAAAGAGAACTAAATCAAACTAGACCATGCCAGCCCTAAGCTCTTGTATGATGTAGCGTTCATTATTCAATCACATATTTTTATAACCTTTTCTATCTTCAAAACCTAAACTTTTGTATTTTCTTGAGATCTTTAAAATTCATTTTTCTCAAATTTATTTTTAATCATATATTTTTCAGTAAAATAAGTTTACATGTAGATCTGTAATTTTTTCTTACCTTTTAACCAAGCAAGAAAGGCAGCTCAAAAATAGCAAGGGAGAGGAGAGATCGATCTGTCATTGAAGCCCTGACTTAAATAAATCTCCTTTTCGTTACTTCACCCTGAGTGGTCTTTGTCGTTCAAGATCTTAGCGAGAAGAAGATGGTTATATGCCAATTACATAATCTAAAATATCATTTGTTACAATTTATTCTTAAAAAATCTACATCAAATAGACTTTAGGTAATATTATAGCCATAATCAATTAAGTCTAGGACCAATTGAGGAATTTAGATATGTCACAAAATATTATCACTATTTTTGTGTGTTTTTTCCAAAGTGACAAACAAGCTTTCCACCTTAATTTTTAGAGTAATGCTGTTTAGCATCACTATATTTAACATCAATTTAGATGACAATATCAGACATTAAATTACAGATTCAATTAAATACAACAAATTATGGTCCAAATAGGAACTATGATATGTTGACACCTAAATTGATATTAAATATCACTGGAGATGGATATAATCATGTTTAGTGTACAATCATGAACGATAATCCCGTTGACAACATACCACATAGCAAATTGTTATTGGACAGTTTGAAAAATAACTTGTTTTTGCAACCAACAATTTTTTGACAACTCATACATTGTCGACCATGATTGTCATCCATAGTTGTACGAATAGATTAATCCAGATGGATAACATTATTCAAAATATGGCATTTCACTAGTTTATTAGGTAATTCAAACATCAAAACTTTAAAATATATTGCCTAGCATGATAAAAATTTTAACTTGAAACTTTTTAAATTGAAATAATAAACTGTAACAAATTTGATTGTTCGCTAATTTAACAATATAAAATTTATATGGAAAAAGATATATGTACACAATACATTCCCGAACATGTCATATTTTGTAGTCAAAATACCGGCAGTCCATTCAAATCCAAAATACATGAAAATCTCGTTAGCTCACAAATTAATTTGAATAAACCCCCAAAATTGGCCAGAAGCACTCTGCCCCAAATCAAACCGTCTCCCCTTCATCTTGCACTCATCTCTCACGATCCGCACCTCTAAGGTCCAACTAAAGAAATCTCGCCGGCACATCTAGCTCCGACGAAGAAAAGACAGTCGCCTGAGATATAGCTCTCTCCAGGTTAGTAGCTATTCACTTTCCGTTTCGTGTGTGAGAGACACTGAGGGTGCTAATTCCTTCCCTTGCCCCGTCCCCAACTGTGAAATCACCCACACCCATCACTGATGACACATTATAATAAGGATACTGCAACTAGTATTATCTCTGAAAAGCTTTGGGCTTTACCTGCTATTTTGAAAAATCAGTGAGTCTACTTGGTAAACTCCATTTCGAACAAAGTGGGTTTGGACAACTTATACTGCTTGAGTTTAGCTTGTTGAAGTTGTGGAATGCTTCATTTATGTGATGTTAGGACCTCATACAAATTCTTGTGTGGAATGGATTTTATGTTTACATTTATACTGCTTGAGTTTAGTTTGTTGAAGTTGTGAAATGCTTCATTAATATGGTGTTAGTGAATTGTTGTGTGGAATGGATTTTATTGTACATTGATACTGCTTAAGTGTTGAAGTTGTGGAATGTTTCAGTTTTGTGATGTTAGGATCTCATACAATTTCTCATCTGGAATGGATTTTTTGTGTGTACATTTATAATGCTTCAGTTTAGTTAGTTGAAGCAGTGGAATGCTTCATTTTTGTGGTGTTAGGACCTCTTAGAAGTCTATCCACTGGATTATTGACATGGATTTTTTATTTTTGTTTTTTGGTCTCAGCATGCAAGTTAATCTGTTCAGATTGTGTGGAATGGCCAGGAGGAAAGGGTAATCTAACATTGAAAGGAATTCCGACAATAAAGGGAAGTTGGTCCATTGTTGACCCCGCGATTATAGTTTTCCAAGTTTTCTAAAGTTTCGCCTGACAAGGAGTATCTATTGCATGGTGAATCAAGTGGAACGAGTTTCAAGTTTTCTAAATTTGTCCCATATGGTGTAAACGTGTGCAAAAATAACCGAGGAGAAGAACTTGGAAATTTTGCTCAACATAATCATGCGCAAGGTCAAACGAGTTTTGGAAGATTTAATATGGAATATGTCTAGTTGGATGAGCTTGACTTATTGTAATTATTTGGTTTTATAAATAAGACTCGAACTGTGTAATTTGCCTGGTCCATATCAATTTTAGGTGTTTGATAATGTCATGACCATTATATACTGTGATTTTAGTTGGAAAAAGTTTTGATATCACTTTGTTATGTTTCAAGCAATGTTACCTGTTGCGAAATGGACAATCACCAATACTGAAAATAACCAACAACCAACTAGCATGATAATATGACAACAGAAATGCATTAAATGAGAACCAGCTTCATTAATTAAATAAAAAGTTTCTATGTATTTAGCCACCAACTAACCACCACATCAAACACTCCAATTAGCCAACTACACAAAATGTATAAATTAGACCCCAAAATAAAACATGTCAGTTAACTATTTACAAAAATATACAACCAACTTTTTCTAAATGCTTTAGGCCCCTATATCAAAATCACCCATGTGGAGCATGTTAGCTAACTGTCTACAAAAATATATAGCCAAATTTCTCTTGATGCTTTAGACCCCTAAATCAAATTCACCAACGCTCTTCTGTGTGCTGACTTGTTGGGAAGGAAAAGTGGTTGTTAGTGGAATATCCCGACAAATGGAATTAATAAAGTCATGCTCAAATATTTTGCATGGAAACTCAAACTCTGCGAAATTAACTTATATTTTGTCACGCTCAAATACCTGAACATTGATGGGGGTAAATTTTGCCTTTCTGCCTCTTTGATGTACTTGAGTTTGTTACTACCTATATGTCATGGAAAAAAACAATTAGTTTCAATGTGTAGCGCTAATATATATATATATAGGCTCAAAATCATACCTTATGACGAGTTCTTGATTTTTTAGAACCAACTTCTAGATATCCTTTTCGACGAAGTTTTTTAGGAGCTCCCTTGCTTTTCATGTATTTCGGGTCCAAGATGATTTCGCTAGTAGATTTTCCTACTTCATTAAAGCATTGGAAGCCCATGGTCACAGACTTCAACATCGACGACTCGGCTATTCAGAATTCAATCCACTCCATAATTTCATGTGATCGTAACTCGTCATGTGCTACCAAGTCAGATAACTTCATAATGCATTGCACATTTGCTCATATCTAACTTGATCTGGAGTACTAATCTAACCATCATAATTGATTGAAACCATTGTGTATGGTCTGTTCACATCCCTCCTCCATCTCTTGTACTTCTCGAGAATTAATTTCACTTGGTTTCATATCAAAACTGCAATCACGTGCTTACAAATAATTCCTCGAAACTCAAATAGATGACAACTACACTTGAAATCACATTCACCTCTATGAAAGCACACTTTAAACATTTTGTCTTCATACATTCATTGATAATAATGTCCTCATGTACATCGTATGTACCATACAAGTAAGAATCATGAACGAATAAGACTTCACAATATACCTTTTCGGTAAACTATTCTTGGAACACCTTGAACTTCGCGATTGTGTAAACGGATTGAAATTGCTTCTCCATTTCGTACCTGGTCGCACATGGTACCATGTGTGAAAATGATTTGAAGTCGGCTGGAAACTCTTTTTCAACTTTACTTCTCAAAGCACACTCATAATGCTCCACAAATTGCTTCAGGGATGTTTTTGAATGAACACAGCCATCAAAAAATGCATTAATACCCTCACTTCGTTGTGTGGTTGACATACCCGCCTAAAATGAAGTTTTCAAAAAGCACGTCACCCATCAACTTCTTTCATCGTATAGACCAATCAACCAAGTATGTTCTATCAATTCGTAATCTTTGAGCATCTTATTCCAACCTTGTTCAAACTCTTCACAACATTGCACATCATATACCAACCCATGTACAATAGCAAGAATAAAAGTTTTATATTTATGGCCACCGAATTTTTCTGGTAACTTTTTTAGAATATGTCACAGGCACCATCTATGCTTTGTGTTCGGAAACACAATTTCAATTGCATTCTGCATAGTACGATCTTGATCTATAATTATTTCCCTTGGAGCTTGATCGTACATACATTGAAGCCATGTCCTGAAAAGCCATACGAAAGTCCTTGTACCTTCATTTGAGATCAAACCACGTCCAAGTAGAGTTGATTGTCTATGATGGTTCACCCCAACAAAAGGAGGGAAAGGCATTTCGTATTTGTTTGTCAAGTATGTGGTGTCAAATGTAACTACGTCTCCGAATCTCCTACATGCTTGCCTGTACCTATTATTTGCCCAAAACACATCCTCAGTCGAGCCTCATCATCCAAGTCTATACTAAAGAAAAAATCAGGACTAGTTGCTTGCATTTTCAAAAAATACGCTTGTATTGCAATAGCGTCTCCTTCACCAAGTTGTAATTGTCGGACTTTGTCAATAAAATTTCTACAATCTTTCTCAACGCATGTAATCTTGTCATAACCACCGACTTCAACTGCGGCTGAGTTAAAACTCTTATGTAACGGTATACCAGCTACATCATTTATTTCAAGCTGTCTTCTCATGTGTGCACTTATTTCTCGATTACATCAATATAACCTTGATTTGGATGGGCTTGTTCTGTGATTATGCTCCAAATGGATAGTGTTAATACGCCATGTGCCATTAAGTTCTGAACATGCCGTCAATCTCGCTTTACAGCATGTTTGCATTGTTGGTTGAGGCTTCAGAACTGTGTTTGTACCACTGATTCGACGACCCTCTCGACTACAAGTAAAAATTACATAACGTATAACACCGTCATCACCCTTCCTTGAAGATCTTTTCCTCACCGGAAAACCTATTTGGTACGCATAGTTCTTGTAAAATTCGAATACCTCATTTTCATCTTGAAACTTCATTCCGACACTGGGTACAATAATATCAGTTCCTTCTCCTAAGCTCATATCAATCGGATTGTCGTCTTCGGACGAATGAATTTCCAAATAACCTGCATTTACTGGCCTAATTGCAGCATTATGTTTGAGAGGCTTGCCGAAAATGGAAGAGCGTATGAAGAGGAAACTAGGGATCATGTAAATCAGTATGCTGAGGCAGGATTGAGGACCTTAATTCTTGCTTATCGGGAACTCAGTGAAGAAGAATATATGGTGTTCAATGGAAGTTTTTCAGAGGCCAAGAACTCGGTTAGTGCAGATCGTGAGTCAATGATTGATCAAGTGACGGAAAAAATAGAAAAAGATTTGATTCTTCTCGGTGCAACAGCCGTTGAAGATAAGCTTCAACAGGGGGTTGGTTTTAAGACATTATTGTAGAAAAGTCATAAACTAGTTTGTAGAAATCACGAAGCGGATATTGATATATATATTTTTTTTCATTCTTTTTCCTTGCAGGTTCCTGAATGCATTGACAAGCTTGCACAAGCAGGAATAAAAATATGGGTTTTGACTGGAGATAAGATGGAAACTGCCATTAATATTGGGTATATATATTTGTACCATTTGTTGTAAAAATATTCGAGGTAACATTAAATTTACAAAAATATCTGACTGAAACCTCTGCAGTTATGCCTGTAGCTTGCTCAGACAAGGAATGAAACAGATTATCATAAACTTGGATGCCACAGAGAACTTTGCAGTGGTAAAAACGGGAGAAAAGGATGCTATTGCCAAGGTAAATCCATGTCCTCCTTAAACGATTACTATCGTTTTAATGGCTGAAGTGAAAAGGCTATATACACTCAGAACTATAAGAGGGAATCGTTATTCAAGATCTGCTTGTTATATGGTTTACTGATCGCAATCCAATTTCATTGGCCTTCTATGATCTGTGTTATAAGTGTTATTGAAAGGGTGTGATTTCGTTTTCACAATAGGCTTCAAAGGAAAGTGTCCTCTGCCAGATTACTGAAGGGAAGGCTCGGGTTGCTGCATCAAGCTCTGCCTCATTTGCCTTGATCATTGATGGGAAATCTCTTGCATATGCATTAGAAAATGATGTGAAAAAATTATTTCTTGAACTTGCAGTTGGCTGTGCTTCGGTGATATGCTGCCGTTCATCACCTAAACAGAAGGCATTGGTGAGTTTATATCCTATTAACTGAGGAAAAGTCTAAATTCAGTCATCTCTCACCAATTTCTTCTCTTCATAGAAGTCTAAATTTCTGTGCTAGTAGTAAAATTTCTTTCGTTATCCAAAGGTAACAAGACTCGTTAAAGAAGAAACCAAGAAGACAATATTGGCAATTGGTGATGGGGCCAACGATGTAGGGATGCTTCAAGAAGCAGATATCGGAATCGGAATCAGTGGAGTTGAAGGAATGCAGGTGAAAAAGCTAATAGTTTAATGTTCCTTATTCAGAAAGCTTAATATTATGACTATGATTTGCCTCACATTTTGTACTATTCATCTGAGCATGTATCAGGCCGTCATGTCAAGTGATATTGCAATTGCTCAGTTTAGATTTCTTGAGCGCCTGCTTTTGGTGCATGGACATTGGTGTTACAGAAGAATCTCTTCAATGGTAATTAGCTTCAGGGCTTTATAATGAGATATGCAAATTTAATATATGATCCGTAAATTACATTATATTTCATATGGCATTGTTTAATTTTCATGTACCTTTGAATGCAGATATGCTACTTTTTCTATAAGAATGTCACATTCGGTTTCACCGTCTTCCTATATGAGGCATATACATCATTTTCCGGACAACCTGCATTCAATGACTGGTTTTTGTCTCTTTACAATGTATTTTTCACGTCATTACCAGTGATTGCTCTCGGGGTTTTTGATCAAGATGTGTCTGCCAGATTTTGTCTAAAGGTACTCCTTTTATCCGATATGACGTTAGTTTAATTTTCTTCCAAGTCAGTTCGTGATGTTTCGTCTAGCATATGCTGTGACGAGCCTGTTCTTAAATCTAAAAGGGCAAAAAAAATGTTAAAAAAGATTTCTGATTGGGTAAAAATTCTAAATAACTATTAAAATTTTTAGTTTTTACCAGGAACTGTTTAGGCATGTTTTTGATATTCAAGAATGTTTACTTGTTCCTCATTTTTTGCTTGCTTTTACATGGCAGTTTCCTTTGCTATACCAAGAAGGCGTGCAGAATGTCCTCTTCAGCTGGCGTCGTATTATTGGCTGGATGTTAAATGGACTCTGCAGTGCTGTCATTGTCTTCTTCTTCTGCATAAAGGCACTAAATCCACAGTCCTTCAATAAGGACGGGAAAATTGCCGAGTACCAAATTTTAGGCGCTACAATGTACACCTGTGTCGTATGGGTTGTGAATTGCCAGATGGCACTTGCCATCAGTTACTTCACCATAATTCAGCATATTGTTATCTGGGGTGGAATTGCTTTATGGTATATTTTCCTCTTGGCATATGGGACTATGCCTCCTAGCATTTCCAAAACTGCATACCGAGTTTTTGTCGAATCTCTTGCCCTAACACCCTCTTTCTATGTAGTCACAATCTTTGCAGTTATCTCGGCCCTAGCACCGTACTTTGCATATACCGCTATTCAAATGAGATTCTTCCCAATGTACCATGAAATGATACAGTGGCTAAGACACGACCGTAAATCAGAGGACTCCGAGGATTCTAATTTAGTGAGATTGAGTTCTATAAGTCCCACAACTGTTGGTTTTAGTACTGCTCATTCATTGACACGAACTAATCGTGTATAAAATTTGCGGGTGTATCATTTGATTGCTCGCATGCGACTCTTGTGGTGTTTGTTGTATGTATATGTGCATAGAGGTTTCGGGATGAGAAGCTTGCATAGAGATGTATAAATTAGATTTACAGTATCTTACACTTGTTTTGTATATTTTGACATTAGCATCCAAGAGTAGTCTTTGTATCGATACGTTCAGTTATACATATAGTGTACATTTCAGGATTTCATGGTACAGAGAAAAATAGGTTGTCATTAGGTAATAGTCATGAAATAAGATCAGGGACATCCTTTTTATCCTAGATTTTATGTAATATTTTAATCTCGTCTTGGACTTTCTAATAATTGTCTGGCTAGAACTCTGCTTAGAGTACACGATAAGAAGACTATATTAGTTGAATTTTTTTTACAATACAATGTTTTCATCACCCTCACAATTCATAATAATTTTCAATTTATTTGCTCCATAATGGTTTTTATTATCATCACTATACAATTACTAAATATATCCGCCTAAAATGAAGTTTTCAAAAAGCACGTCACCCATCAACTTCTTTCATCGTATAGACCAATCAACCAAGTATGTTCTATCAATTCGTAATCTTTGAGCATCTTATTCCAACCTTGTTCAAACTCTTCACAACATTGCACATCATATACCAACCCATGTACAATAGCAAGAATAAAAGTTTTATATTTATGGCCACCGAATTTTTCTGGTAACTTTTTTAGAATATGTCACAGGCACCATCTATGCTTTGTGTTCGGAAACACAATTTCAATTGCATTCTGCATAGTACGATCTTGATCTATAATTATTTCCCTTGGAGCTTGATCGTACATACATTGAAGCCATGTCCTGAAAAGCCATACGAAAGTCCTTGTACCTTCATTTGAGATCAAACCACGTCCAAGTAGAGTTGATTGTCTATGATGGTTCACCCCAACAAAAGGAGGGAAAGGCATTTCGTATTTGTTTGTCAAGTATGTGGTGTCAAATGTAACTATTCAATTGCATTCTGCATAGTACGATCTTGATCTATAATTATTTCCCTTGGAGCTTGATCGTACATACATTGAAGCCATGTCCTGAAAAGCCATACGAAAGTCCTTGTACCTTCATTTGAGATCAAACCACGTCCAAGTAGAGTTGATTGTCTATGATGGTTCACCCCAACAAAAGGAGGGAAAGGCATTTCGTATTTGTTTGTCAAGTATGTGGTGTCAAATGTAACTATGTCTCCGAATCTCCTACATGCTTGCCTGTACCTATTATTTGCCCAAAACACATCCTCAGTCGAGCCTCATCATCCAAGTCTATACTAAAGAAAAAATCAGGACTAGTTGCTTGCATTTTCAAAAAATACGCTTGTATTGCAATAGCGTCTCCTTCACCAAGTTGTAATTGTCGGACTTTGTCAATAAAATTTCTACAATCTTTCTCAACGCATGTAATCTTGTCATAACCACCGACTTCAACTGCGGCTGAGTTAAAACTCTTATGTAATGGTATACCAGCTACATCATTTATTTCAAGCTGTCTTCTCATGTGTGCACTTATTTCTCGATTACATCAATATAACCTTGATTTGGATGGGCTTGTTCTGTGATTATGCTCCAAATGGATAGTGTTAATACGCCATGTGCCATTAAGTTCTGAACATGCCGTCAATCTCGCTTTACAGCATGTTTGCATTGTTGGTTGAGGCTTCAGAACTGTGTTTGTACCACTGATTCGACGACCCTCTCGACTACAAGTAAAAATTACATAACGTATAACACCGTCATCACCCTTCCTTGAAGATCTTTTCCTCACCGGAAAACCTATTTGGTACGCATAGTTCTTGTAAAATTCGAATACCTCATTTTCATCTTGAAACTTCATTCCGACACTGGGTACAATAATATCAGTTCCTTCTCCTAAGCTCATATCAATCGGATTGTCGTCTTCGGACGAATGAATTTCCAAATAACCTGCATTTACCGTTAAATTATAAAAAGTATTAATGTAATATAATTTTTTATCCTTTCTTTTTTATAAAAAAGTGCCCTTTAACTTGACATAATAATAAAAATTTTAAATTTTAAAATAAATAAAACATTTTAAATATATAATTATACATAGATAAACAACAATAACAAATTTTTTTTTTTTTTTTGGAAAAAGCTATATGAATGGATAATAGTTCACAGAAGTTACACAGAAATTCAAAATGAGAGACGTGTCGCCGTGGGGTGAAAGAAAAAAAGGAAAGGAACTGTTGGCGGAAGGGTTGCACTACACTTACAGGATTTTTACTCACAAATGTTTTATAGAAAAGACACATTGGAGGAGTGGGTGGTCGATTTTTTGGCATTTTATATCACACATGGGGCCCGCGCACAGTGAGGGTTCTTGCCGGATATTGTGAACAAAAATTTTGTACATGCAGAATTTTCCTTGGCGGAAAAGGAAAGGCGACTGGATTGGAGGGAAGTGTTAAGTGTATAAATTCAACTCTTATGTTTTTGCCTTGATTTCCGGGCTCATTATGGGATATCAAATGAAGTCGAAATATTACATTTTTAACATCATTTTGAAGTAATCACGGCCTAATATTTCACGTCGTTAATTGTGCACGAAACGGCCAATCGTAGCAAATGTTACAACGCGTTAAAGTAGGCCGTTCCAAACTAGTATTTTGAAAATTTCGATAAAAATCTAACTTTAAAAAATTTTCGACGATTGTACGCTGGTCGAATCCATAAATCTTCTATATTATCTCGAAACTCATTTCGAGAACAATATCATAGACATATCGAATGATCTAAATGAATATCGAAAATAGTTAAACGTATATCAAACGTGTGTATGAAAAAAAGACGTATAACACTTCTTTAAAACAAAAATTCAATTATTTTATTAATATTTATTATTTTTGTGCGACAAATTTCTCAATATAATTTACATCATTTCATCAAAAAAATTTATATGTGGTACAGAGTAAAAAAAAAATTATTAATAATTTTTTTATTAATAAATTTTTTCTATTCATGCTTTGTTGATTGGCTTTGTTTACTTTGTAAAATTTTCTATTTTTTTATTAAAAAAATTTATGTCATACCACATGTAATATATTCTGATAAAATGATATAAATTATATTGAGAAATTTGTCGCTCAAAAATAATAAACGTTAATAAAATAATTAATTTTAAAAAAAAGAGTTATACATTTCTTTTTGATACGCACGTTTGACGTATATTTAACTATTTTCGATCTCAAAATGAGCTTCGAGATGATATAGGAGATTTATGGATTCGACTAGCGTACAATTGTCGAAAAAATTTTAAAGTTTGATTCTTATCGAAATTTTCGAAATACTAATTTGGAACGACGTAATTTGATGCGTCGTAACATTTGCTACGATTGGCCTTTTTTGCACAGTCAACAACGTAAAATATTAGGCTGTGATTACTTCAAAATGATATTAAGAATATAATATTCCGACTTCGTTTGATATTCCGTAATGATTCCAAAAATCAAGGCAAAAATATAAGTAATTTATTGAATTGAATTTATACAATTAACACTTCCCTCCAAGCCAGCCACCTAGCCGTCTTTCTTTTTCTGACTACAGTTCATTTCTTTTTCCTTTCACCACACGGCAACACGTCCCCTCATTTTGAATTTCTGTAGAAGGTCTGTGATATCGTTTCTGTATGTATAGCGTGATTGAATTTTTTTCGATGATCCTATAATGGTAAGATCCTGTGCGATTGCTCAACTCACAAACTCTCATAGCCGGCTACGCAAGTATTTTATCTTACTGATAAATTACAATGTATTGATTGATATTAAATTGATTGATTGATTGTATGTTGGTTAATCACATGAGGTAATCCACCATTATTGCCTTATTGGAGGTTTAGAATATAAAATGGTCTCACGTTCCAAGGGGAATCTACTTGTGACACGTGCGTATATGTACACCCACAGAAAAATTCTATATAGCTAAAGCTTCATAATAAGCCACGAAATTATGATTTATCTATGTAGAGTGAAAACCTTTCGTAAGGAATTAATCAAAGTATCGACAACCCTCCAAATCAAATTGAAACCAGGGTATTGAAATCATTGGTTTGAGTTCTTGTGCACGTTTCAACTTTTGAACCCTTCAACATTTTAAATTTCAAGTGAACCAAATTATTCAGAAACAATTTGATTTTAGTTTCAATAATTAAAACCTCATTTAAGATTAAGTCGAATCATTTAAATAAGGGTAATTAGTACAAAATGTCCTTACATTGAAATGTTATTATATAAAACATCCATACCGTTTCATTTTTCCACCCACATTTTTCCATTTCATTGCGAAAAGATCATTTTCATCCAATTTCTCAATAAAAAAATATAATAACAAGTATATCCTAATATTTAAATAAACTTTGATAAATAAAAAAGAAAAGAAAAATTAAATAACAAATTGCAATTATATTTCCAAACTTTTTAAAAAACTACAAATGACTCAAACAAATTATTAAATAGGTAATTAACATAGAACATTCTTACCTTTCAATATTATTGTGTAAAATGTCCATACTTTTTTATTTTTTTTAGCATTTTCACTCATATTTTTATATTTCATTGCGAAAATCATCATTTTCATTCATTTTCTCAATTAAAAGCTGTAAAATAACAAATATATCATCATATTTAAATAAAACAAAAATAAATAATAAATTGTAACTATACTCCCAAAATTTTCAAAAAAGTACAAATAAATAATTAAAAACAAAATTTTTTAAAGAAAATCACTTTCTTTTTTTAATCATTTGTTTGGAATTTATTTATACTTTTTTGAAAAATTTGAGAGTATAGTTGCAATTTATTTTTTTATTTTCTTTCTTTATTTTTGTTTTATTTAAATAGGAGGGTATATTTATCATTTTACAGCTTATAATTGAGAAAATGGATGAAAATTTGAAAATGGTGATTTCTGCAATGTAATGTGAAAATAAGGGTAAAAATATCAAAAAAATGAAAGATATAGTCGTTTCGTTCAATAATATTGAAAGGTATGGACATTCTGTGTTAATTGCCTTTTTAATAATTTATTTGGATATATTTATAATTTTTTAAAAAGTTTGGAAGTATAATTACAATTTGTTCTTTAATTTTTTTGTTTTATTTAAGTAGGAGGGCATATTTATCATTTTACATTTTTTATTTTTTTTTTGAAAAGTTGGATAAAAATGACATTCTCCGCAATGAAAGGTAAAAGGAAGGGTAAAAATGTCAAAAAATGAAAGATATGAACGTTTTGTGTAATAACATTGAAATG